CAAGAGAATTCTGAGTAAAACCAAAGTTACTTTCCCTAGTAACTAGTTACTTTGAAAGTAACGAGTAACTTGAAGTAACTGAGTTACTTTTGAGAGAAGTAACTAGTAATGTAACTAAGTTACTATTTTAAAGTAACTTACCCAACACTGCTCTTCACACACTGAGGTTAATTATGGAGTTCCACAGGGTTAAGTGCTAGGACCAATTCTGTTTAGGCTGTCTCTCTACTAAAAAAAAGTAAAATAAACCTATAAATCAAGCAATAAAGACAGAAGCAACAGCTCAGTGAATAATATAAAAACACGAGTACATACACACAACACCTTTAAAATAAAACTCCAATTAAAAGCACCATCAGGCACACCCAAGCTGGGCACCAACAAAGTGCGATGTAGCAGTGACACACAAATGGACCATAGCAAGATTAATATGACAAAAGAAAGTTAAACCAAAACAAGGCACCACCAGACACAAGAAAACACTAGAAAAGACAAGACAATAAAAGTCAACAGCAACAAAACAACAGCAGGATAGGCCTGTAACAAGAGAGAAACAGGAGCCATACTGTGATGGACACACCCATGGTCACACTCTAAAAGTCAGTCACTCTTATGTATTTTTATTTATTTCTTCATCTGAACACAATTGCGCACTTTGGTTTGCAGTAAGTTGATTTATTGGTTTAAATACATTAGTTGTATTTGTAAGTGCGCACATTTAATCTACTTATATATTTATACCAATTCATTTCTTATTTTTGGTTTTATTTTCACTAATCTTTGTTTCTTTTACCGGCTTCTTGTCATGATCCCTGGGAGTTGCCAGACAAAAGATGGTGGCCAGGGTTTAAAACACTTAAGTACACAGAGGGGATGATTTGAGCACACCACCACCACTTCCTGCTGAAAGGGGGGGATGTGCATTTTCTATATCTGTTTCTCAATCTGTGTTCTGCTACTTTCTATAACATCTGGGTTAAGGTGCTATTCATGCATTGCACTTGATGCAAAATCCTGACACCTTATACTGTTGTTACACTAGCAGCATAGATCATGAGTTTTTCTCTCATGTCAGAAGCTCTATCTAAAACTGAGTACTAATGCTGAATGTCAACCAGCTGTTAGTAACAATATGTCTTGCAGGTGTTAACAAAATTTTTCTTTTTCTCTCATGAGACTGATTAGCAATTGGTTCATGATGCAGCTTTATGGAGCTCTGATCCTGAGTGTGACTCTGTCTGCAGGTAAGAAAAAATGTTTAAAGGTTAAAGGTTAAACTTTAACCTTAAACAACTCAATAATGAGTTAGTGAGGCTTGTGTGGAAACAGATATGATTTTATATATTTTTTGTTTAATAATTGAAACTTTAGGTCTAAAAAATGTAGAATACACCAGACTACATAGGATTCATTTCCTGGTTAATTTTCCTGGTCAAGAAAGGAATAGATACAGGGATAGCTCAGTAGGTAGAGTGGTGGCCTGGGGTTCCAATCCACTGAATGGCTATCCTGAGGTACCCATGAGCAAGGTACTGTCGCTACACACTGCTCTCTGGGTGCTAGATTGCTGGCTGCCCACTGCTTCACTGAGTGAATAGATTAAATGCAGAGAGGAATTTCCCCATGGTGATCAATAAAGGTATATATTATACATACATTATTATTATTATAATAAACAAACATATTTACTTATTTTGTGGTGAGTAGGGGATATTTTCCAGACTAAGAAGACTTCTTAAGATTTCACCCCTTATATATGACCCATTTTCTGACAACACTTCAGAATAAAAAAAGAAATACCCCCTGTAATTTCTAATGTGTGTGAAATTGTGTTCTTCTTATTTCTATAGCATGTGGATTGAAATGCTACACATGCTTAAGATAAGATAAGATAAAACTTTATTAATCCCTCGGGTGGGTTCCTCTGGGAAATTCGGTTTCCAAAAGCACAGCACCGACAGAAGTTACAGAGCGTGAGCAGAATATTATATATATATACACACACATATATAAATACAGAGACATATATAAATAAAATATATGAAGGGGATAAATAGAATAAATAGGAATAAAAATAAAATTAAAAATACAAGTGAATTGCTTGAATACCAATCCTAATTCCTGCACAGAGACCACATCTTGTGGTTATGGCTTCTGACCGTTGTTACTCGTAGAGTAACGGGTGAGATGTTATCACATATCACAAGCTCTATCTAAAACTAAATGCTGAATGTCTGCTGGCTCTTGGTCTCTTGTAAAGTTTCTGTCTGAGAATTTTCCCCTCATGTCTTACAGGTCTTAATGTAGTTTCAAAGGGCTGCCAAACCAGTGCATTATGTGTTGGGCCTATGTCTTGCTGTGAAGGGGACCTGTGTAACAGCGCTATTCCAATTGGTCCCAGTGCCATCCTGCTGCTGGTATCTTCAGCCATCCTCAAATTTCTTTTCTGAGACACATTTTGTACCAGCGGGGAAGAAATAAACAACTTTGAAGTGCTTAATATGAAATAAAACTATCAATGCTACTTTCATCGGCTGGGTTCTGGGTGTGACTTATCCAAATACTGTATTGCTTAAATGTAATGTTTTTGCTTCCATGCTGCACTTTTTTCTGACTCTATGAACGGTGCAATGATGTGACATACAATACTTTATCAGGAGTTTTTTTTTTTTGTTAATAATTCTTTATGTATTTTAAAAGGAATTTAGCACTGGTCAATCAACAGGCAGGTTAAGATGGGCTGATGCTCACAAGTTGAAGTGTTCTGGTTTCCTTGTTTAGAATTTTATTTATTAGTTTAAATCCTATAAGCTAAATAAGTATTCTGTTCGACAATTACTAGACTGCTAGAATACCAGACTTTAAAGGCGCTATTTCCTTGTTGTTTTTAGAGAGAAAATGAAGGCATCTTTTTACACAGCTTTACTTATGAATCTGTATCATTCTCTTTTTTTTAACAGAGCTCTAAACAGGTTTTTAAGTTATAATTATGACTTACTTGCAGTCAAAAATATGCAAACACGATTAAAACCTCTGAAAGTTTATACGGTGCCTGACACGCGGTGGCAAAACAGCTGTTACCTCGGATGGAAATGATGGCATTTTTAAAAGTAATGTTTGCAGAGGGACAAACATGCATTTGGGCTTGTATGAAGTTTGACAGATTGTTTCAGTTATCTGCTGCTCTAAAACACAAGACTGCCCCCTGGTGCCGCCTCCTTTCTGTCGTGCTCTTCTCTCTTCCAGACATAACCCGAGTAGAAGTGCGGTACACCTGAGCAGGCTGGGTTTACAAATCAGCCCGTTCAGATCTGCTTCCTCTCCTCCTAATCCTTTGTTTTTGTTTGTTTAACATGCATACAATCATTCAAACGATGCACTGCTGACAGACACGTCATTGTTCATGTTCGTAACTTGAAATCCGGCCCATGAGAAAAATGAAAAATGTTCAAAAAATACGACAAGTTTTGCAAAAACAACAGTTTACAATTCAGTCTTTCACTTTTTCAGGATGAAATAAACTTGAAATCAACTACAATACACGTTCCAGAGGAGTTCCGGTGATGAAGAGTGTATAATTTTAAGATTTCACAGAGCAGAGTGCATTGAGTAGAATATCTGGTGAAACCAGGAGGAGGCAGCAACGCACCTGGAGCCGCCAACCTCTGCTAACCAAAGAGGAAGAAGAAGGCGCGCGTCATTTACGCGTCTGTGACCTCATCGTATGCGCTGCTATATTTTGAAAAGCTGGACAGCGGCTGTCAAAGCTCTGCACTTTATTGTACACGCAAATTCATTTTTATGCGACTTGTTATTATGGATCAAATGTAAGCGAACATTAAAGCATGCCAAAGTCTCTGAAAAAGTCCTGCACCACTCAGACCTCCATCAGCAGGTACTTCGGAGGATTGAGCAGCAGCAGCAGCAGCTTTGCCTCCAACAAGCAGCGCGGGATTAACCCAAATCCTGCAGAGCAGCAACTTTCAAGAGGCAACGTGAGTTGAGCTTCACACGCACATATCAGACATGCTTCACTCAATGCTAATTACTGAAGTGCAGTTCATTTTTGTCCTCCAGCAGAAGCTTTCATCTGATGATGACTTGGAATTGCCAAGAAAACGAGTTAAGCCTTCTCCAAAGGACCACCAGGCGGAGGATGTGGAGTGTGAGCCTGCGTCCTGTCAGGGCATTAAAGGTGAGTGTTGACTTCAGACAGAAAAATATGTCATGATCTTCTAAACCCTCATTAAAGTCACTTATATCTGTCCACTGCACAGCAGCATCACAGTTCTCCAAAAAACATGTGCACTGGTATAGATTGTGATGAGATAACTCTGCCCACAACGCATTTATTTGGCCTCCAGTGCGATCCCTCGATGCACTAGTAGATGCACTTACGGTAAAATTTTGAAAATCCTTGTTGACTTCCTTCTTAAGTTACTGCATTCACAATATTTTCAGAAAGATTGAGGTAACCGAGATTTGAACTTGTCCAACATTTTTAGTAGAAGCACGTGTGTTATGAATATCAGAATCCTACCTCGCCTCATACTCGTGTTATTGCATTCACAAATCCATCCACAAATCCAGCCTCTTACAGCTGAGGGGTACAAAGTGAAGTTGTCGTTGATGTGACTGTAGTACTTGTCTTCTCTCCTCAGACACAAAGCTGACGCTGAGCCGAAAAGCAGGCAGCCTGTGCTCCTCCACGTTGGAGAAGCTGAAAGGCTTCACCTGCGGGGCTGAGCCCAGTGTCGTCAGCAGCATCACCCGGGAAGAAACAGAGACGGCTGATGCAGGTCAGGAAAGCAGTGATTGGTCTCCTCGTTGTGCTACAGGTCAACCTGAAACTACACACAGACTGCAGCATGCAGAAAGGGAGCATGAAGGTGAAGAGGAGGATGATAAAGAAAAGGCAGATCTGGGGTTGGCTGCTGCAAAACAGGTATGCAAAAAGTAAAGTACCTGATAACACTGAAAAAGCAAGTGTGACTTTTTACATCGTAACAGATTTGATGTATTTTTATTTCTGCAGGGAGTTCACTTCTCTCAGTTTGCCAAGACAGGAGGAGGAAAGTGTGCAGAGCTGGGTCCTCCATTGGACTGTAGCACCTCCTCCAGGCGTTCAAAGAGCATTTTCACCCCCCTTGAGCAGCAGGTGATCCAGCTGAAACAGCAGCATAAGGATGCTTTGTTGGCTGTGGAGTGTGGTTACAAGTACAGGTTCTTTGGAGAGGATGCAGAGGTGAGAACTAAAAAGCAGATGTGTTAGTGATGCATTTAGAAGGAGTTTAAATTTAAACTGTATCAAATATAAAAGACATATCTTATGTTTTAGATGATTGTCTTCTTTCAACACAGTGGCTCTCTGCACCTGATTTGTGTTTCACTGATCGCTGAAGGACGTTTTGTTTGTGAACAGATTGCTGCAAAGGAGCTGAACATCGTCTGTCATCTGGATCATAACTTCATGACGTGCAGCATCCCCACACACCGCCTGTTTGTTCATGTCAGACGGCTGGTGTCTCACGGACACAAGGTTTCTGCTTTATCTTTGACTTTATATGATTACTGTTTACTAATTGCAAGCAGTTTAGGCTCATGCTCTACTGGCTTTTTTATTGTTTTAATTTATAGGTCGGAGTGGTTAAACAGACAGAAACATCTGCGATCAAAGCGTCAGGGGCCAACAGAAATACTCTGTTCACTCGTCAGCTCAGCGCCCTGTACACCAAGTCCACTTTGGTGGGAGAGGGTATCCTTATAGATGATGAATGTGTGCACGTGTTCTTAAACAACTTTTTATCGTCACTCTTTGTTTGAAACAGTTTCCTTGACAGTTTTTTTAAAAGATGTAAATCCGGTCTGCAGACTCGGGGATGTGGAGGAGGGGGGCTGTGATGATGTTGTGTCGGACCCTCCCGACAGTTTCCTGCTTTGTATTAGTGAGAATTGGGACAAACTGAAGAAGCAGCTCACTGTAGGACTTGTGGTGAGTTTCATAAGTCAATCCATGAATCCCACCTGGCCATTAGGCTGATTGTTCTTCAGTTATTCTGTGTATAAGAGATGAAAATCAAAATTTTAATTTAAAAGTAGGGTTACCCCTTGGCTTTTTGTTCAACACACATTAGGGGACTGTTGTGTATTATTTTAAAATAATTTAATGTTCACTGTTCAGTTTCTTTGCATGCTGATAGTGTAATAACACCACACACTCACTTGTAGTGAAGAAGAAATTGTAAAGAAATTAAATCTTGATTAATAGCTCACTTAAGACAAAAAGTTACTTTAATAAAATTTGAACATGCTTTGCCATTTTTCAGTTTATACAGTGTATAACTGTCAACTTGGAGCTGTAGCTGCACATCTTTGACATCATCTGATTCACAGCATGTGTTTGTGTCTGCAGGCAGTTCAGCCCAGCACCGGCGACGTGCTTCTGGACTGTTTTCCTGACGGTCCCTCTCGCTCTGAGCTGGAATGCCGTGTCCTTAAAATCAACCCTGTTGAAATCCTGGTGCCCTCCGACCTCTCAGAGCAAACCGAGAGACTCCTGCACAGCATTACGAATGCAAGGTAATATGCTGGGAAGACACTAGAGGGCAATATATACCAATTTATTACTAAAATGTACTTAAGCGCTGAGCTTATGTATGTGTTTACAAAGCTGTATCTGTTTGTGAGTTTGCTGTATTTCATTCTGCAGAATTAGGTTTAGGTTTCCCCGGGCAGGCAGACGGTTGTTTTATTTGAAACTCCTCAGGCTCAGTCTGGATGAGGAAATCAATGTCGGCTTGGTTCTCAGCACTCTGGATTTCACTGCAGGGATAAACAGGATCCAGCCGAGCCGTCTGTATTTTAAAAGATCATAGACTGTCTGTCCCAATAAATGGTCATTTTATATCACTAGTTTTATTAAAAGAAATAGACAGCAGTTACACACCTGCCTACACATATTTAAGTTCTTCCTCCAGTTCAGTCGTTTAAAACATCAAGTTCCATAATGTGGTTTTTAATGTTTTTTGTGTGTGTATAACTAACATGAGGCTTTGGTGGTTGTAATCAGTTTAAACAAGTGCTTTACAGTTTTCCCTTTTGTCATTGGTAGGCTGGCTTCTTGTGAGATCAACACAATTACTTTGTTTTGGACTTGTCATCCACCAGAACTTAGTAGACAAATACTCTTATAGACACATAAAGACCATATTTTTATTGGAAAACAGAAATATATTCTGTTATTTATGCAACTCGAAACAGGTAAAGACACAAGTTAGCTTCAGAAAAGTTAACAGCATCAGTTTCAGTTATTCCAGCGATTAGCTCATAAGGAGCATCAGAATGTCTTGAAGGTCTTGAGCTTCACTTGAAAGCCTTAATTTAATGTCTGCAGGCTCTTGTATGAATCACGAGAACACAAAAAGGTTAAATTAAGTTAAATTTACCCTTCATTCTAACTTGTGTTGTACAGTTATTTCATTTTTAACTTTAATTTTTATATTTTATTTTATTTTATTTTATTTTATTCCTTCCTAGTTAAATTTACCCTTTTTAATTTTCATATTTATTTCTTATCTCATTCATAGCCTTTTCTTTTTTTCTTTAGGTCACGAGCAGTTGTGTAAGCATTTCACTGCATATCGTACTGTGTATGACTGTGTATGTGACAAATAAAATTTGAATTTGAATTTATTTGAATTTGAAAGGAAATCTGAGTACATTTGTTCTTTTATTAATTGGCAGACCAACAGCACGAGCAGCAACGGTAATCCTATTTAAATTCTTCTTTTCCTTTTTTTGATGACGTCATATTGCTGTTAGTGGATACTTCAATACATTGCGCGCGTTTCCACTATCAGCAATAACAGGTATGAACATATGTGACTGGACTGTGACGGACTGATGATGTGGACTGAAGTTTTGACTGACTTGTAGTTGGGATTAAAGACTGCACCTGTTTTAGGATCCCTCACGTCTAAGCCTAATTCACCCTTAGCAGTTAAAAGGGTGGATGTCCCCTATGGGTTAATGACAGAGCAACAGTTTCCAGGTCATAGTGCAGGAATCAAAGAATTGAATGATAGAGATGAAAAGAAAACAACTCCTGCACAACTCAATGAATATAAAGCTTTAGTCTTAAGTTTTATCAAACAAGTTGGAGAAAGAACAAGGCTCGCAGAGGGAAGCACGCAGCCAGAGGCTCGGTGGGTCCATCTCAAAGTGCTGAAAAAGAAGCGATCGAAGCCGAGGTGGACAGGACCCTTCGAGGTAGTGGAGAGAACGTCTCATGTGGTCCAGCTGAAAGGAAGAGGAGACATGGTACCATTGCAGCTAGTGCACAGCAGCTGAGGAGCCTGGAAGAAGCATTGCAGAGATCCAGAAGGACCTGACCAGGCAGGACCCAGGCCCAGACTCAGCTAAGTCAGAAAAATCCCAGAACTCAACCGCAGGGGCAGACTAATCCCCTGGTCTGTGGAACAACAGATCTCAGGGTAGTCTACCCCTGAGATTGAAGTAAGAAGAGGAGGAAGAACGCAAAGAATCACCCAACACAGGTTGGCGTGACTTGAAGAAGGCCAGAAGCTCCTCAAACAGAGTTTCTAGTTTCAGAACAGAGAGAAGAAAGAGACACCAGTGAAGATGGTTTTGTGGGAGAGCAAAAACGCTTAGCTTGCTTAGCCTGGATTAGTGTGGTTATGTTGGGACTGACACTTGTAGAGCATATTATAATGGAATAGTGGTGAACTTCCAAGACCCACCAGTAACAGCTGCAGCAAATGTTACTAACACTTCAGTCTAACACTGCTGCCTAAGTCCAGAAAGATTGGTGTGCTGACTGCAGATTACTTGCAATAGCTGCTATTAGATTAGATCTCTAGGTAGACTGAATTATCCAGAATTCCAGAGAACAAGAGGTGGGAGACTGCATAGCTTGTGCTACAGCCAGGCCCCATCTTTTCACTGAACCAGCTCTACGCTATCCTAATGACACCTGGGGATTTAATCGCAAGCTGCAAATTACTCAAGCTGCAAGCTAGCTTGTTCCGGCCAATCGCTAACACCACTAAAGTAGGCCCATTCACCCCTAAATAAGACAACTACACTTGTTTCAATCTAACTGTTGGCACTGCACAACCAGACAACAATTATGACCAGACCCCATTGGACTGGTGCTCCCTAACCCTCCCAAGCTATCATACTGGAGTTTGTATGGGTAAGTGGGCTTGTGCTGGGCTCTATAGAGATCGAAAATGTGAAGTAATTTCCGGGGTAAAACTGCAAAGGATTGTAGGTGCAAGTGGTACTAGCGCGCACGGGCTATTACAAGACAACAGTCACACAGAGATAAACGGAGACACAAAGAATGGCAAGAAGCTGTTGTATTATTAACTGCTATAGCCGGTCGCATGACAGCCACGGGAAGCCGATGGGTAAAGAGATCGGTTTTTATCGGATTCCGTTGTGGAAGAAAAATTGTTCAAGTCATGTTTCCAAAGTCACGAAGAGGCGGTGGATGACCTGGATTGCAGCTATTAGAAGACCAAATACTGTGTAACGTTCCAGAACACTCCAGCTCAAATGTTAGTCTTTTCCAAGCATTTCAACAAAGGTTAAATTTAATTCAATTCAATTTGATTTATATAGCACCAAATCACAACAACAGTCGCCTCAGGGTGCTTTATATTGCAAAGTAGATCCGTACAATAATAGATACAAAGAAAACCCCAATAATCATATGACCCCCTATGAGCAAGCACTTTGGCGACAGTGGGAAGGAAAAACTCCCTTTTAACAGGAAGAAACCTCCAGCAGAACCAGGCTCAGGGCCATCTGCTGCGACCGGTTGGGATAAGAGAAGGAAAACAGGACAAAGACATGCTGTGGAAGAGAGGCAGAGATTAATAACAGATATGATTCAATGCAGAGAGGTCTGTTAACATATAGTGAGTGAGAAAGGTGACTGGAAAGGAAAAACTCAATACATCATGGGAGTTCCCCGGCAGCCTACATCTATTGCAGCATAACTAAGGGAGGATTCAGGGTCACCTGGTCCAGCCCTAACTATATGCTTTAGCAAAAAGGAAAGTTTTAAGCCTAATCTTAAAAGTAGAGATAGTGTCTGTCTCCCGAATCTAAGCTGGAAGCTGGTTCCACAGAAGAGGGGCCTGAAAACTGAAGGCTCTCCCCCCCATTCTACTTTTAAATACTCTAAGAACAACAAGTAGGCCTGCAGAGCGAGAGTGAAGTGCTCTAATCAGGTCATTAAGGTAAGATGGGGCCCCTGATTATTTAAGACCTTGTATGTGAGGAGCAGGATTTTGAATTCAGTTCTGGATTTAACAGGAAGCCAATGAAGGGAAGCCAAAACAGGAGAAATATGCTCTCTCTTTCTAGTCCCTGTCAGGACATCCTGATAATAATTGAATTACAGTATTCCAGTTTTATGGACTACCTTTGTAAGTCACTTACAAAGGTATTTTTTTGTTGTAGTTAATAAGTAATTTATCATAACATAATTGTTGAGGTTTACTCATTCTTGCTGTACAGTGGGGCAAAAAAGTATTTAGTCAGCCACCGATTGTGCAAGTTCCCCCACCTAAAATGATGACAGAGGTCAGTAATTTGCACCAGAGGTACACTTCAACTGTGAGAGACAGAATGTGAAAAAAAAATCCATGAATCCACATGGTAGGATTTGTAAAGAATTTATTCGTAAATCAGGGTGGAAAATAAGTATTTGGTCACCTCAAACAAGGAAAATCTCTGGCTCTCACAGACCTGTAACGTCTTCTGTAAGAAGCTTTTCTGTCCCCCACTCGTTACCTGTATGAATGGCACCTGTTTGAACTCATCATCTGTATAAAAGACACCTGTCCACAGCCTCAAACAGTCAGACTCCAAACTCCGCCATGGCCAAGACCAAAGAGCTTTCGAAGGACACCAGGAAAAGTATTGTAGACCTGCACCAGACTGGGAAGAGTGAATCTACAATAGGCAAGCAGCTTGGTGTGAAAAAATCAACTGTGGGAGCAATCATCAGAAAATGGAAGACATACAAGACCACTGATAATCTCCCTCGATCTGGGGCTCCACGCAAGATCTCATCCCGTGGGGTCAAAATGATCATGAGAACGGTGAGCAAAGATCCCAGAACCACACGGGGGGACCTGGTGAATGACCTGCAGAGAGCTGGGACCAAAGTAACAAAGGTCACCATCAGTAACACACTACAACGGCAGGGAATCAAATCCCGCAGTGCCAGACGTGTTCCGCTGCTGAAGCCAGTGCATGTCCAGGCCCGTCTGAAGTTTGCCAGAGAGCACATGGATGATACAGCAGAGGATTGGGAGAATGTCATGTGGTCAGATGAAACCAAAGTAGAACTTTTTGGTATAAACTCAACTCGTCGTGTTTGGAGGAAGAAGAATACTGAGTTGCATCCCAAGAACACCATACCTACTGTGAAGCATGGGGGTGGAAACATCATGCTATGGGGCTGTTTTTCTGCCAAGGGGACAGGACGACTGATCCGTGTTAAGGACAGAATGAATGGGGCCATGTATCGTGAGATTTTGAGCCAAAACCTCCTTCCATCAGTGAGAACTTTGAAGATGAAACGAGGCTGGGTCTTCCAACATGACAATGATCCAAAACACACCGCCTGGGCAACAAAGGAGTGGCTCCGTAAGAAGCATTTGAAAGTCCTGGAGTGGCCTAGCCAGTCTCCAGACCTCAACCCCATAGAAAATCTGTGGCGGGAGTTGAAAGTCCGTGTTGCTCGGCGACAGCCCCAAAACATCACTGCTCTCGAGAAGATCTGCATGGAGGAATGGGCCAAAATACCAGCTACTGTGTGTGCAAACCTGGTAAAGACCTATAGTAAACGTTTGACCTCTGTTATTGCCAACAAAGGTTATGTTACAAAGTATTGAGTTGTATTTTTGTTATTGACCAAATACTTATTTTCCACCCTGATTTACGAATAAATTCTTTACAAATCCTACCATGTGGATTCATGGATTTTTTTTTTCACATTCTGTCTCTCACAGTTGAAGTGTACCTCTGGTGCAAATTACTGACCTCTGTCATCATTTTAAGTGGGGGAACTTGCACAATCGGTGGCTGACTAAATACTTTTTTGCCCCACTGTAGGTTACAAATAAGTCTTATATTGATTTTAATTGAATTCTTTGCGCTATGCTACTTTGTTTACTGTGGCTTTGCGGGCTAATGTTTGTTTTGTTTTGTAGGCAAACCAGCCTAAAAAATGCTGGAATGAGATCCAGACTGGGCACCCTCTATCAACCTGGGTCATACCGAGTTTTAAGCTGCTACCACGGTGAGATTTGATTGGTTAAAGAGGGAGAGCCAGATGAAAACAGCCACGAAAAGTCCCACATTCCTCTGGGCCAGAGACGGATAATCCAGGCGAGATCTATGCAGGTAAAATTGTTATTTTACATAAAAATATTCTACTTTTCCCACTGTGTTTACCTGTG